TAGGCTGGCTAGCTAGCTAGCTAGCTAGCTAGCTAGCAAGGCTAGGGTATGTAGGGAAAATCAGAGAGAGAGGGCGACAAACACATACAAAGCATCGAATGTAAACCCTAAACCATAAGCCCCGGTGAACCCTAAGCTTTAAACCTAAGTGTACGTGCACTTAATGTAGGGGCCTAAATAATCAACTATACTGCTTTGGGGGGTTCCTTATAAATATAAGAAATAGACCTCAACACCCTATTCTAATTATTAAAGCCCCTACTATAATAGAACCCTATCATAGATCCCTTAAAGACCCCTTTAAGGATACCCTTATGTAAAGGAACCCTACATTACCTGCGAAGCGCTGCTCCGCCTAAACCCTAAACCCTAAACCCTAAACCCTAAAACCCTAAACCCTAAACCGCTCCGCCTCCTCCGGATTCACGGTCACCATCGCCTCAAGGTCTTTCGAGGTCAGCGTTGCCTGGCTTCTCGAACTGTAAGGGTTTAGGGTTTAGGGTTTAGGGTTTAGGGTTTAGGGTTTAAGGTTTAGAGTTTAGGGTTTAGGATTTAGGATTCAGGGTTTATAAGGTTTGTGGTTTGGGGTTTAGGGTTTAGGGTTCAGGATTCAGGGTTTATAAGGTTTAGGGTTTAGGGTTTAGGGTTTAGGGTTTAGGGTTTAGGGTTTAGGGTTCAGGGTTCAGGGTTTAGGGTTTAGGGTTCAGGGTCTAGGTCTAGGGCTCAGGGTTGAGGATTTAGGGTTCAGCGTTCAGTGTGGAGGTTCAGGGCTCGGGGTTTAGGGCTCAGGCTTGAGGATTAAGGGTTCAGCGTTCAGGGTTGAGGTTCAGGGCTCGGTGTTTAGGGCTCAGGCTTGAGGGATTAGGGTTCAAGCTTCAGGGTTTAGGGTTTAGGGTTCCGGGCTCGGGGTTTAGGGTTTGGGAAACATGCAGCCCTAAACCCTAAACCCTAAACCCGTATGTTGCCTGCCCTTCGCCCTTTTCGGCTGCCCGGGGTAGATCAGAGTTTAAGGATTCTCGCTTGCCCCCAATCCGTCCAAGCCCCCTCAACTCCCTAAACTCAAAACACTCAACCCTCAGGAATAGTATTGCTGGTATGTATGTATATATATATATATATCTCAGCTTTGCTTTACTGATCTATCTATGTTTGCATTTACATTTATATTCATATCTGTTTCTAGTTACTGATTCAACTATTTAGGCATTTGCATTTAATGGCGTCACATCGGGGCTGGTTGCATAATATAGAGGCCTGAATAAATTAGAATAGGGTTTGGGGCCCATTACACTATACTTATGATAAGGAGCCTCCCAAAATAGGAGTGGTAATTATTTAGGCCCCTAGATTACACTCCTAACCCCTACGCCCTAAACCTTAAACCTTCAACCCTACACCCTACACCCTAAACCCTACACCCTAAACCCTAAACCCTAAACCCTAAACCCTAAACCCTAAACCTTAAACCCTACACCCTACCCCCTTCTTAAGGCCCTTATCGTAGGCCTTTGGGCACCAGACCCCCGTGGGGGGCTGGAGTCGAAGTCCCCTATAGTAACCGGTTTAGGGTTTAGGGTTTAGGGTTTAGGGTTTAGGGTTTAGGGGTAAAGAAGGCAGAGCTTGGACGGTGGAGAGGGGGTGTCCACATTCACGTTCTGGAGGACGCGCGACTTCCCACGGCTTTTAAGTATTTTCGGGCTTAGGGTTCTAAGTCCAAGGGTTCAGGGTTTATTAGAGTTTAGGATTTAGGGTTTTAGGTTTTAGGGTTTGGGGGTGTTCGTGGGGTTTCAGGGATTTTCGAGTTTAGGGCTTAGCGTTAAGAGCTTGGAACTGTGAAGGTTTAGGGTTTTGGGGTGTTCGTGTCTCGTCCAAACAAGGGAGGGACTGCAACGGCCGGGTCTCCTCGTCCTTTGCAAAGTGCAACTCGAGGTAGATTCCCAGACCCCCGGAAGGATCCCAAAAGTAGATCACTTAATGGGGGTTCCTATAAAGAGCCCTTAGCCTTAGTAGTATAGGGTCCCAAATTAGGGGTTCTACTTTCTAGATCCTTCCGGGGGTCTGAGAGGCTCGAGAGCGATGCACCTGGCTCCGGCTGCGTCAGCTGCTCCGGGGGACATCCCGAGAGAGCCCAAGAATTACCCCTTAATTAAGGAATATACCTTAAATTATAGGGGCCTAAAAATTATGATTTAAGGTATATTCCTCTAAATATTATGATTTAAGGTATATTCCTCTAAATATTATGATTTACTGTATATTCCTCAACTGAGGGATATTGGGCTCTCCGGGTCGGTCTGCCAAAGTTCGACTGTGCAGCGCGAGCACGTGCGCGTGCTTGGCCGTGATGCCCAGGGCACCTGAAGAGGGGCCAAGGTAGTGCAGAGGCTTAAGGCTTTACGCAAAACCTAAACCCTAAACCCTAAACCCTAAACCGATCGGATAGGCCCGAGAAAAGCCTCAACAATAGACCGTTGCTACGAAATCTCTCCTCGGTACCCCAAACCCCTAAATCCTCAACCCTAAACCCTAAACCCTAGACCCACAAAAACCCCCAAGCCCCAAGAGGAAAGCTCTCTAAGACCCTGAGATCCCAAATTCAAGTCTACTGCTCAGCCTGTAGACCAGTTTAAGGGCTTAGGGTTTAGAGTTTATGGTTTGAGGCTTATGGTTTAGGGTTTAGCCTTAACTCCAAACCCGTTGCCCCAAAAACCCCAAACCCTTGAACCCTAAACCCTACAACCCTAAACTAACTCTCTAAAGCCTAAACCCTAAACCTACAGTAGGGGCCGAAATACTTACCAAGACTATTTTGGGGATTCCGTATTACAAGTATAGTCTACTATACCCCCAAGCCCTATTCTTATTATTAAGGTTCCTGCATTAACTACCTATAGTCTCCGTTGTAGTTCCTGTTTGGGGATGCCTTATAAGATCCTTAATATATAATTGGTTAAACAAAAAAAGGAACTACAATGGAGACTACAGGTAAACCCCGAACTCAACGACCCGCCCCAGGGCCGTCTTGCGGGCTTCGCTCGGCGCATTGCCGCTTTGCACGTCGAAGGTGACCTTCCTCTGCACAGCGCGGACGAAGTCGTCCTCCGAGGTCGGTATAAGAAAGGTAAGGTTCTGATCAACCGTGTGTACCTGCAGTTTGTGACGTACTATGCCATCGTCGCTGTGCATTGATTATCGTTCTTTCGCTGGACTACGCTGGATTGGCATGGGGCTAGGCCGAGAACCCTACTTTCGCATTGTCTTGAACGCGACAGGTTTCAGAGACAAACTAAGGCATCGCAGGTGGTGGAAGCAGTGGCATCATGCCTTCAACCCTTTCCTCCCACCGTTCTCCGTGTGTGTGTGTGTGTCTGTG